GATATTGGACTTAGACATCTTTATGCATGTCATAGGGTGTTCCGATATATTGTAGGTATTTGATGAAATTTCTGATAATTCTTCTAAATTTTTTTTGGTTAGTTTGAGGCAGATGGATAACCATGGTAAAATTATGTCGCTGGAATTTGACGCCAAGTTCAGTTCACATAAGTGCTCTAAATGACTTATATGACGAATGGTTTCCTCTCTCGTATTTAAACTTTCTTTTTCGTAGTCTCCGATGACTATTGCCTTTTTACTTGCTTTCTTATGACCTTCTTTGGTTATTTGGAACCCGTATTCGCAAGTTTTAACAAAACTTGACCAATCTGGTGTGCTTAGACTAACAATTCGTATTGAATTTTCATGAATAATCTCGTCCAATCTAATATCATCTTCATTTATCAAAATTCTATCCTCACAATCGCAGAAAAAACAATTGCTACGCATTTTCAGGTTGAATTCATGTTGACTATACCTTTCACTCAATAACCTTCGTACTTCTGATAAGCACGCTTTTGGGGAAAAGCTTCCCTTAAATTTCAAACCATTGTAATGAACAGAAATCGAAACATGTTTGACTGGATAAAAGAAAAAAGAAAATTTTATATGTACTGTTAGCATCATCATTATTTTGAACATCAAACACGAAAGTACTTCATTGAATAAAAGTACTTACCAACTAAATTTAATGTTCATTGAAATTTGATAAAAAAATTAGAAAGAATATTTCTTAAGTAGGAAAAACTTTAAATTTATATGAATGAGTTAATGTCAGAAAAATACCATCTGAATTCAATTTAGGTTTTGACAAAACCACTTGATTTCGTCCTTTCTTTTTCGCATCACGCATTGCCGTCTCAGCAAGTACACGTAAGGCCTCTGGTGATTTCACTAATGAGTTCACTTCAGCAATTCCAATACTAAGTGTAATCGTATTCTCATAAATAAATGAGTATGCTTCAACAGAAAGTCTAATTTTTTGAGCAATTGCAACAGCCGATTCAGAGTCAGTATCTTTAAGAAGAATAATAAATTCATCTCCACCGAATCGTGCAAAAGTATCTTCTGGACGGACATGCTCAGTTTCAATCAACTCAATTAACTCCTTTAAAATACAATCCGCCGTTTCATGACCACTGTTTTTATTAATTTTTCCAAATCCATCTATATCAAAAAATAATATACTCAATTTTGAGTTATTTTCATTCGCATTCTTGTATTCGCATTCTAATACCCCGTTTAAATAGTCAAGGTTATATATCGAAAATTTGGTATCCAGACGACTGTTAAATTCACCGGGAGGAAGGTATTGAAAGACGCACCTTCCAACTTGGATTAAATCATTTTTTTTCTAGAGGATGCGTCCCGTGAGGTAAAACTTTGTCATTGTTATTAATTATAATTACAGCTGATGAACTTTCATTTGTGATTGAAAATTTTCCATGGTCACTTTTTATTGTTGCATGTTTTTTATCAACATCAGAACCTTTTATAATAATATGGTTTGTAGGATCTCTTCCCACGTCTGTCTCAAACAAGTTAAGAAAGAAGTGATTTCCTCGAGGTGAACCTTTTATCGTCACTAAACAAGCTTGTTTTTGGTCTTCTTTTAAATTTGCGTTTTTCCTGCATGAAACTTCTGGGATATAGTCAAGATCCTGAGATAACTCAATATCATTAAGACGACGTTTAATATCCTCTGCTGATGGGCGCTTATTAGGATTCTCGTCCCATGCATTTAGGTAAATAGCTTGATAGTCTACCGGAGTCCCCTCAATGGGACTTTCCCTAATCCCATAAATCAGCTTATTCTTTAGAGCTGATATGCCCCATCCATCGTTAATGGAAGCAATGAAAGGAGGAACACCGCTCGATATTTCCCATAATAACACACCAAGACTATAAATGTCAAAACATTTATCTTTTTGACAACCCGAAGTTTCCGGCTTAAGGTAAGTCGGATCAAAATAAGCAAGGTTGACAAAACCATCATAAGAATTTTCGTGAGAATCGATGGAGGCCTTGTCATTAGATTTGTCTAGCAACATAGACGAACTAAATCCTGTAATTACTGGTCTGTTGCCATTGATCAATATATTTTTTGGATTCTATAAATTAGTTTAGATAAAATTATTAAACAATAACATACAGTAAGTATAAGATCAAATAATAAGTTGTGCTCACCAAATTACAGTGTATAACATTCGAATAGTGGACATAATTTAAGCCTTCTGCGATGCCTTTTCCCATTTCTATTTTAGTAGACCAACTGAGTTCGTGAAAATTTTTTTGTAAATAGCTACGAAGATCTTGTCCGTATACGTATTCAAGTACGGTGTAATAAAATCCATCAGAAGGATCTAAATAATATAAAAGGTCAATTACAGTAATCAAATAAACCATTTCTTCATCTATAAAGGGCTATTCTAGAAACAATATAGCGTGAACAGTGAATTACAAGTAACATACAGTATATACCTCTACTAATACCCATTAATTTAACAACATTTTCATTTGCCATAATTTTATGCAAGTTTTGCGCCTATTTAATTAAGAATCTCGTGTTAATAAGGACAGAAAACTCAATGATTAGTGTTTAATATGCGTACCTCTCTGAAAAATTTTTTATTGGACTCGTCATCTTTTTTACGCTTCAAAACAATATTTTTGTTAAGTTTTTTTATATAAGCAGTTTTAATAACATTAGATGATCCATCTGAAATAAGAATCGCATTTTCAAATGAGTCATAATGAAATTTGTTACAATTCCCGATCCATTTTTCAAAAGAAGCCATCTTCAAAAGTTGGTATGAAACCAATTACTTTCGTGTGCACTATTGCTGTACTAAAATCACTACTGTAATTATTTACAGTACGCAGGCAGGTATCTTGAAAATCCGTCATACTGCATCGGAGAACACAGTAATTAAATCAGGTTACACGGAATCAAATAAACTATTAAAAAAAAACGAAAAAAGGTTTAATACACCAAGTAATTTTCGCCGATCTTGAATTATGTATGCTAGAGTCTAGCTTAACTTCTCTTATTCTAGGCTTGATTCCTCGGTTGTACTTTAATGTGTCGTTTACCTTTCAAATTCTTATCTTTTCCATTAAATACGTTAATAAATGGCGCTGAAAATTTTGGTGCAAAACTTTTTCTAGAACTTCCGTTCACCTTATTTTATTATTCACAAATCACTTACTGTATACCGTATGTTAGCATTAGACCGTAATTCTATTATTTCATGGGTTTTACTTGCACGATACTTAAATTTAAAGTCGTTATAATTATGGAATGTGTTAAATGGTCAAGTGGACTCAAAAATTCACGTTGATTATATTCATCCTTCTCTTAATTTTCTTACTTCAAAGTTCTTGCATAACATGACTTTGATTAGTGATGAAGAAAGCATTCAACAATAATCATATAGCTCAGAAAGTATACAATGGAAAATTTTTTTTATTATTTTTAACAGATACGTAAAATATTGAAACAGATACGTAGGCATAGTTGTAAATCGATTCTAATACAAGAATATGCTACCCTCTTTCCCTTTGTTTTCTTATATTATTAAAATATCATTATTATTTTATTATTGTTGTCTTTTTACTTACTACAACATTATAAATTACATTAGTAGAGAAGTTCTAAAAATTCAAAAATTCAATTTTAAATTATCAATAAATCGGAAGATTTAAGAAAATACATATGATTATTTGTATCAAATGTCACTCTAAAATACAAATTAGGCCTTATCAATTATTTAATTTGATCAAAACTTATATGAACATATAAGTAAAAATCTTAAAGCATTGTTGTTTCAACATACCCTTTTCATATTTTTATTATAATAAAGGTTCAAATATTTTTTCTTAAATATTGTAATGAAATAATGTAATGAATATTTATTTTATATTTTATTATATTAGTTATGTAATGTATTACTCTTTGATTTGTATTTCAAACAAATTTGATTGAAATTTAAAAACTTCTTTTACAAATTAAGAATATTTTTTTATTATTTATATTATTTTAACTAAATATTGTTACATTTTATACTGTATATTATAATTTTTTAAATAGATAAAAATAATTTTTTGTTTTTGCTTAATTTCATCAAAATATTGATTTTATACAATATTAATTCAAATTATTATATCCTCATAAAAATTTTTTTCAATTAAATTAAAAAACAAATTTGTTGTTTAAATTATTATTATATCATTATAATAATTTGATAATTTAGATAAAAAATATTTAAATAACATTATAAAGAAATTTATTGTTATACAAAAAATAAACAATATAAAATAAAAATACACATGTTTTTATATATTTAAAATTTTTTGTAAAATTAAAAAATAAATTAAAGTTTTATTTAATTTATAAAAAAGTTACTGCTAAAAAATATTTTTTTTATTAAAAATCTTAATATCAATTTTTCTTTTTTTTTTTTTTTTTTTTTTTTTTTTAAACGGGTGGCTTACACCTTGTTTATTAGATATTATGTAAAGAGTATGTACAAA